GGGAAGATCCTGCCTTGTTGCAACCAGGGGATTGCCCTGTGATTCCCGAATCAAGCCCAGCAATGTCTGGGCTCATTGGACATGCAACCTGCACCCATGACCAAGAAAGGTTGTCATGCAACTTTTGTATCATCTCAGCTGCCGCCAGAAAGCCTGGCTCAGACCTTGTGGCTCATCTGATGGATCCCAAGACTCACACCCTCTCTCTCTCAGCATCTTTGGGGACAGATTTCTTCCTGTTATTTGAGACTTGTTCCCCACCTTGCAGGTGCCCACAGGACCCTCTGCACCTGACAGCCTTGGCTGGAGATAGGCTGGACCTCTCTCCCATGTCCCAGTAGCACCGGGTCCCACATGGCCCTGAGGAAGCAGACCACAGGAGGAGGAGGAAGGCAGGATCTAGAAAACCTAGACGATGATCCAGAAGGAACTTCTCCTGGTGCAGCTTTGCCCTGTGCAGGGATGCTTCTGCGCCCCAGAAACAAGCATGGGTTGGTGGAAGAGGGTTGTGTTGCAGCCCTAGGAGGACCATTAGCATCTGGATGACTTGTCATTTGTCTGGAAGTCAACGGTAGCCAGATGTGATGCTGACCGCATCACTCCTTGTCTACGCCTCAGTGACATACCTCGAGGGTATGGGCACATGAACAGGTACTAGGTGAGCTGAGCTGGGATTTTGCAGTGTTTCTGCTATTTTCTGGAACATTGCAAGGCCGGGCTTCACTGAGCAGCTGAGGGCTGGAAATTTCCACCCCAGATCACCTTGCAGTCCCTTGTCCATGTGTCTGGTTCTGCAGGAGAGGAGAATGGAAAATATGCAGCTTTTCCAAAGCCCAGAGTGATCTAAAAGTGACTGACAGCAACCTTAATTCGAGACACATTGTTTGGTAAATGCTCCATTGACTGTAGATTGCCAAGATCAACAATGACCTGGCAAGACTGAGGTTAAAGGTGTCTTTGAAATGCACCTGAGCCTGGGGATTTCCATCAGACTCTGCTGTTTTGTCCTCAATGAACTGTTCAAAGCCCCATGAATATATGGGGTACCGGCTCCTGCTATTCATAGATTCATGCATCTATATATGCTGCTATTCATACATCTATGAATCTATAAGTAGCAGCAGCCGGTACCTGGCATTCAGCAAAGGAGTTCTCTTTTACTGGAGGCTGGTGCCAGTACCGTATTTTCCCATGTACCACCCTCCCTTCTCCAGACCTTCCTCAGGCAGGGACAAAGATGGACAGTCCACACCTTTGATGACTAGGGGTAGGTGTTGTTTAGGAAAATTGGGCATAACCCTTTGTTGGCTAGTTATTAATCTTGTTAGGCAAAACCTTGCATTTTACTTGCTGCATGAAACAAAAAAATCCTCTTTTTGATGTGACAAAATATTCTCTTGAAACAAATCCTTGGAGTCGTGTGGCTATGAGTCGGTAGTTGGGATCACTTGGCACTCAATTACTTGGTTTGGGCTACTTAGTTACACCCCTTTTTATTGGCTGTACTGGTGAGCATATGGTACAGGAGACTGGCTGGAATGGGAAGGCTTGGTTAATCAAATCATTAGATACATGACCTCTATCTTATGCCCGAGCCAATGACAGCCGGAGGCAGCCCAGATCCTCCCTCGTTTGGCATGCATTGGCCATCTACCAGGAAATTCTTCCCCTCTTTACTCCAATGCATCTTCCAAGATATTAATAAAGATGATGGCAGGTTTCTGGGGCTAAGCATCCTCTTTCTGATGCTCCCTGTGTTTGGCAATGCTCTCCTATTTGTCTTCTTCTTTCTAAAGACCCTGCACGTGAAGAACAGGGCTGTGGGGTAGGGTGGGAGCTCAGAGCCTGGAGTGCCAACAAACACCTTGCCCAACGCTGGCCGTGTCTACATGAGACGCCGACCGCACCGTTGTTACGGCGCAGTCATTTAGTACTTGCATACCCACGTATTAAATGACTGCGCAGTAACCGGAGTTACAGTGCCGCGGTGTCCCCAAATGGCTTTTAGGTGATGCTGACTGTGCAGTAGCTCATTACTACTGTGCACTAGCATCACATCATGCTTCGTGCCATGTGACACTACTGTGTAGTAGTAATGGGCTACTATGCAGTTAATGCCTCGTGTAGACATGGCGTCTGTGTAGCAAAGGCATAGATCGGGGGCATTCATGAGTGGCTGGTTTGTCTCCTTGGCAGCCTCCAAGAGCTGTGGTGTTGGCTCATGGCAATGAGCTCCAAGCCAGGGGTTCATTGGGTTGCGGAGGTGCAGGTGAAGATGTCTCCTTGGCAGCCTCCAAGAGCTGTGGTGTCGGCTCATGGCAATGAGCTCCAAGCCAGGGGCTCATTGGGTTGCGGAGGTGCAGGTGAAGACATTTTGGGCTGGAGCTGCGATACTCGCTATAGAGACTAAGCAGGTTGGCGGCCTGCAGCCCTGCAGCCTGGCTCCTCAGCCAGTCCTTTAAATGCAAAACACAGGCCTTGCACCAACAAAGGCACAAACCAGCAACAACACTTTTAGCCCTTCTCCAGGCAGTAGGAAAGGTCCTTTAGCTGTGTCTCAGTATCGTCTTGGTACCATGGCCCCTTCCTGCTTGCGAGCTTATCTGAGTTTCCCCTCCGCCTCCTGTCTGCAACCTGCTCCTTTCCCCCTAGCTCACTACTCTCTGCTCTCTCCTCTTGGGTTTCAGCTGCTCCTGGGATACTCCCTCATCCATTTACATCTGGGCTCCTACAACAGGGAGCTCTGTTCCCTCTTAAAGGCCCAGCTCACCCTATTACAGGCACTGACCAATTCATCTGTGCTCCAGTACATTAGGAGTGCCTGGTTGCTACAGCAGAGCTGTGGAGCACATTGCAGATAATGAAGGGTTAAATACCCAACCAAAAACAGCCCAGTTCAGTTTTTTGCCAAAATCAAAGGGTGGAGAATGGCTGGAAGATGTTTGTCCAGGAAATTGTTGAACAAGCCGGAGGACTTCCACAGTCCTTGCATGCCACAGGGCACACAGCCAGACTTTAGCAGTATTGCCAATTAGTCACGCATGGGGGTGGGTGGTGGCTGATGTGTTTACACAGCTGGAAAACAAGCAGAACTGGCTGGCTCTGAGCTGCGGTCGCCCCTAGATACGGGGATCAGCATTGTCAGTGATGATAGCTGGGTGGTAGAGGCATGATCCTGAGCTTGGGCACACAGCGTAGATTTACCCAAAGGTTTCTTAAAATGACCAGAAACTTATGGGGGAGCTGCACAGGGGAGGCCAAGACTGCAAAACCTGAGGGGAAGACAGCAGTGAGATGTCAGTGTGAGCCCAGGGATGGAAACGTTGTTGGGGGGGGCTATGTGCCAGGATTGGGGGGTATTAGCAGATGCGTGCATGCACCCAGGAAGGGGTTAGCAGGGTGCCTTGCAGGCCAGCACTGAGAAGCAAAGATGGTTCAAGGAAGCTCATACGTGACCCAGCCAGCTCTCACTCTTGTAACGTGAATTACTGCATGGCCCTTAAATAGCACGATAAGAGCTGGGCTGGTCTCAGTGGTGACAAATGACACAATAAGAAGCAATAGTTGCAGCAAGGGGGGTTTAAGTTGGATATTAGGAAAAACTTTCTCAAGCACTGGGACAGGTTACCCAGACAGGTGGTGGACTCTCCATCCTTGAAGGTTTTTAAAACCCAGCTAACCAAAGCCTTGGCTGGCATGATGTAGCTGGGCTGGTCCTGCTTTGAGCAAGGGGTTGGACTAGATGTGGCTTCCTGAGGTCCTTTCATACCGTCATTTTCTATGATTCAACCCGGCTGTCCTATAGGGAGGGCCTGGCTCCACCAGCCTTACTAAGCATGACTTGCTGGTGCAGTTATTTTTGCATACATTTCCATTGCATGTTCAGCACAGAGGGCGGGTCCCTGGGAGCCTTCTGTATCTGGACCGTGACTCTCACCATAGGCAGAGAAGAGCTGCAATATAATAACCCCTTCGCCTGCCTGATGCAATGACAAACCATCGGATGCTTCAGCAGGTGTGAGCAATGAGGGGAAACTGTGCAGGCATCAATGCTGCAGTCACTTAATTTATTGATGAGGATGGGATGAGAGACAGTGTCAAAAGCCTTCTTAAAGTCTAGAAAGATTACGTCCACGGTGACACCATCATCCAAGGATTTAGTTACTTGATCATAAAAGGCAATCAGGCCCTTCTACACTCGCGGGCCGAGGAGGAGTACTCCTCCTTGGTGATAGCTCCTCCCTTCCCCTGGTTGTACACCCCCTATACTATAGGTATTTGCCTATACTTTGATGCACCCTTACAAGGATCTTGCTTCCCCCTGGTTGAGAATCACTGCTCCAAAGGAAGCTGCTTTCAGGGGAAGAGAAGGGGGCAGGGAAGGAGTTAACAAGCAATCTGGTCAGAAGGCTCCCAAGAAGCCTAAGCTGTGATTGTGATGCTCAGCACCCAGCACATCCCAGTATCCCTCTTCTGTTGTTACTTATTGTGTTGCAGTAGCACCTAGGAGCCCCCATCATGGCTGGGGGCTTTTTGGGAGGTACAAGTCATGTCTCCTTTGCTAGTATCACCACACACACGCAATGACTTGACAGCTGTAATAGTGGATTTGTGTTCGCTAAAGCATGGCTCTTGGACATACTGGGTGCATCTACGTGAGACATTAGCTGTGCAATAGCCTATTAACACTGTGCAGTAGCATGCTGTGCAAAACCCATGCTAATACACTACTGTGCAGCAGTCTTAGGCTATTGCACAGTTAACATCTGTAAAAACCCATGTGCTGGCGCTACTGTGCAGTAGCACTGATTACTACACATTCGTTTAGTACTTGGTTACTAAACTTAATGCAAGTAACTACAGTGTATTAATGAACGTGCAGATGCACCCACAGTGTACACAGATGTGTTTGCTGCGCAGTGAACGTGTAGATGCATCCAGCGTACACAGATGTGTATGCTGCACAGTAAAGGCATGCGCACACATTGATGGAAGGGCAAAAGTTTCTGTTTAATGGTGCCTACCACACGTGTTCATATACATACACCTGCTGGAAAAATAGATGGATCTGCTGATCGGTATATACAGCGCATACGCACCCGCAGTCACAGACAGATTGGGGAGGGGGGGGTCAAATGTTCAATGTAAATAGTGCATGCAGTAAACACTCAGCTACATGCATGATGGAGCGGTTGATGTGTCCGCTAAGTGGTGACTGTGACATAGAAAGACATGCACTTAATGGAAGGGCAGGTGTGTATTAAAAACAGCATTGTAACACACACACATGCACACACACACACACACACACATGCACCCCGTTTGCTCTTAATTAACAGCGCTAAAGAAATCTGTAAGACAAGCATCAGTAGCCAGGTACAACCGTGCAGGGGAAGAAAGCGGTGCCGCTCTGCTCAACTGCTAGAAACCAGCCATCGGGGGGAACTTCCAGGGCAATCGATGGCCCAAGGCTTCCTCTCCGCTCCTCACAGTCTACTCGTAAGCAAGAAGCAGGTGACGCTGGCTGCAATACCCACTGCCATGACCATGGAGCTGCTTTCCATCCTGCCCACACCGTTGGTGTTGCAGTCGTCAGTTGAGCAACAGAAAATTTTCTGCTTAAACACATAGAAGTCCTCAGTGGAGTTTGTACATGAGGAGGAACACTGCTTCTTGATAACTTTCCAGCCTCCCACCACCGGAACTGGAAGGGAAATGAAAGAGTTACACAGACAACACTCAAGCAAACCTATCAGGGCAGGGGGCTCTTGTGCTGTATTAGGGTTGATGGTCCTTTGACTAAGAGATCAGATGATGGATTTGTATGGGATGATTTGGATAGGGATGATCCTTCCTCAGGCAGGGAGTTGGACTAGATGACCTCTGGAGCCACTTTCCAGCCTGGGTTTTCTATGATTTCTAGGATTAGGCACAATTCCTAACCATGACACTAGAAGGAAACAAGCTAGAGAAGTGAAAAGCAGTGGGATGAGGGACAACACAGCTGGACCTCATGGACTGATAGGGTTGGAAGAGACCTCAAGGTGATCAGGTCCTCACAGTGATGAAGCTTGCATTTCTTGCATGCATTTTCTTTTGGAAAAAAAAACCCAGCTTAATCCTAGGTGTTTACTTAAATCCAAGCAGAACAACCCCTTTCCTTCTGTGTAGCATACTTATACAGCCCAGCTCCATCCTTTTTGCAGCCCCCCTGCACATAGCTGAAGGCTGCTATTCAATCCCCCTCGGTCTTCTCTTCTCCAGACTCAATCAGCTCAGTTAGAGTTTGCAAAGCCACAGGAACTAGAGCTGGGGGAAAGGACACAAACTGCTATCAACCACTTGTGTTATTTTAATGTTGGTGGCTTTGACCCTCCAGTGCTTGAGCAAAAGGCAGACTGCCTCAGTATAACCACGAAACATCAGATGGCTGCAACGACACCTGTAGCTGGGAGAAGTTAATGACGGAGCCAGCCGCAGGGAGCTCCTCACACCTGCTTTTCAGGCTCTCATTCCTAAACACGCCTTGCTTGTTCAGGCAGACAAACACTAACCGGTAGACATGCAGCAATTTCCGAGGATGTTATTGGGCTCCTTGTCAATGTGATTTGTACCACCTGAGGGCCTGGCTTGGAGACTTCAGGTCCCATTGGCAAATGTGGTGGAGGGTTTCACAAAGTGTCCCGAATTGCATAAAACTGTTGCATGCAAGACACAGGGGGGGATTTTTCTACTCTCTTCAGACCTGACCCAGAGAACGGAGCCCAGTTTGGAGCACTGTGCACACCAAAAAGGATGGCTTCTTTCCAATGGACACACCAAATTAGAAAGAAGGCAGCGGTGAGCAACACAAATGATTAGCCATCTAGAAAAGGCAGTGTTTGAGGAAGAGTTGGAAGAACTGTGATATTTAATTTGGAGAAGAGAAGACCAAGGGGGAATTTGTATTTGAAGCAGTCCTCAAATACATACTAAGTGCATTTACAATGTGAATGGTGATCAACAGTTGTCTGTGGCTGCAGGCGACAGGACTAAGAGCAACGGTCTTAAATTGCAGCAGGGGAAATTTAGGTTGGACCTTAGGAAGAAGGGAGGGCCCAGCTGGGGTGTGCAGGGTGATCCCTGTGTAGCTGCAATGGATGAATGGTTGTGTGAACCTCCTGGTTGTGTCTCTGTGTCAAGCACTTGTGTGTCCAACAGCAGCCTGGGACATTGCCCCAATGTCTCTTCTTACCATACAATTCTGTCTTGCAGTCGGTGGAGTTCGCGGGGCAGTTTGTGGATGCCTGACAATCCGCGTTGTTGGTCTTCGCTGAGCACGTGCGACATTTCAAGGCAAAACCTGCAAGAGACCCAGGTGTGTGAAGGGGTACCGCAGTACAGAGAGCCCCAGGACGAGGAATGAGGAAGCTGGGTTGCTGCAGTACAACCCAGGCCTTAAAGAAAAGACTTTGTGACCCTGGGAGCATGATGCCACAGCGTCCCTCTCCATCACACTGTCAACTGAGCTCTCGGTGTTCAGATCCCTCCTCTGCCCAACCTGGATCCCAGGCCCCACTCCCAGAGCCAGGGCACATCAGGGGGTCTTGGGAGGGAGGTGGGTCCAATTGCTCATGGGGATAGTGGCCACCTGCCCTCCCCAGGGGCTGAGCACTCTCAGGGGTGCAGCTGTCACCAAGGACTTGGTGGGATGGGAGTTCACACTCAATGCCGGTGTTTCACATCCCATGGCCTGGGCACAACTGAAGTGTGCACACAGCTGCAATTACACTGTGCAGGTAGCTGCCGGGGTATAATGCACCTACCCTCCAGGCTATATTGAACCCAGGCAGCTGGACCGATTACCAACCAACTAGCCTTTTAGTGGTCCCCACCATACATATGCTCTGATCCCATTCTCACCCCCCCAACGGCAACATACAGACCCAACAATGCCCCGTGGCTATATTGCATTATACCGTTCAGCATAAAAATAATGCAACAGTTTGAACCCCCACAGAAAAAACAAATGATTTGCAATCAGATGGCTTTTGAAATCAGCATCAGTGACAAAGGGAAGGATTCGGGTTGGAACGGGGAAGGAACTGAGACAAGGTCAAGGTTTTCAAGCCAGCTGACCCAGCGGCCTAATGGAATTGGCTGAAAGTGAACTGCATCAGCATTTTTCATGCAAAACCTGCCATTTAAGGAAATGTCAAAGTGATGTGGTTTGATATGTTTTAATTTTTTCCCTCCCGTCCTTTTTGGTGGAAGCTTCTCACAAATCCTTGGGGTCCCTCCAATGCTTCATTCTCCAGCAAGTTTACTAATTTACTAGGCAAGGGTTTCTTACAGTGATACCTTTCCAGTGGACCCACTACATAGTTGGATGAAAGTTAGGCTTTCAAATGCGAGGCATTGTTCATCGTTTCATAGACGTTAGGGGCTGGAAGGGATGTTACAGATCATCGGGTCCAGTCCCACCCTTGGGCAGAAAGCAAGATGGGCCTCTTTATCGAAAACATTTCTCCCATCTGCAATCCCAAAATATGTTGACTTCCAGCAAGAAGATAGACCATTTTTTCTCCCTGTCTAGACCACTCTGTAATGTCCTTTCAGAAAGCTGATACCACACACCCAGACAAGAACCAGTGACTTCTGCCTTTTGCTTTGGGGCAAACGCATCTCGCTGTCTCCCCTCCTACTTCCAGAGGTGTATAACTCACTGGAAAGACCATGAGATTGGGGTAAAGAGGAAACTCTACCGTGTCTTACCTGATTCTATGCACAGGATTGCGGCCAGCAAAATAACGAGAAAGACCTTCATCTTTGAGGCTGTGTCTAGCACTCTGAGTCGAGGACTTTCACCTCCTTTATATATAATCACTTCAGGTATCACTTGTATGGGGTTGGGAAGTATCAAATTCCCTACTTCTGGGCCGACTGGTTCTCTGAGTCATGATACAGGTATTGGTCAAAAAACACCACTCCTCTCTCTTTGTTGTTTCTTTGTCAGGTTCTTTTTCTTCTCCGTCGTTCCTGCCCTTATCATCACCCTTGTGCAAACCCTACACACCTCAATGGAAAATACCAGACCTCTTCTGCACAATGCCAGCCTGGGGTTGATAAACCTCTCCTAGGTGGGGACTTCACTCAGGCATGGCCAGTCATGCATTCAAACCCTGCCAATCCCCTTTGCTGTTATCACCAAGAGCACCAACACACCTGTGTTTAATCAACACCAGGACGGGGCTCTGCAGAACATGTTTCTATGGACCCAGATGCATAGCATTTGGGGTCATCCTCTGGGCACTATCTTGTCCCATTCACAGAAGATACAAGGGGTTATGGCCTCTCTCCATAGTCAAGTTCATGTCATAGCTCTTGTTTTCAGTGCTAGAGGCCCCATGTTCAGTCCACCCTGGGGTGACCTTCACACCGGGAGCCCCTCGGACTCTTTCCAGCAGAAGAGAATAAGAAATTTCCTTTGCATTTCCTATGGGAAAGATGTAGAGCTCATTGCCATAAGATGTAGGCCGAAGCTAGGTTCAAAAAGGGATTGGAAACATGCTTGGAGGAAAGGGGCATCAGAAGGTAATGAGCATGAGGGGTATGGTCTCTGCATCAGAAATATGAGCAGGAGGTTGGACTAGATGTGACCTCCAGAGGTCCCTTCCAGCCATCATTGTCTATGGTTCCTAGATCTTAAATGCTGGAGGCTGCAAGTGGGAGATGAACAGGGGAAAAATCTAGGGTCTGACCCAGTAAATAGCAGTTATTATGTTCTTAAGTAAATGTTGCTCAGTTGACCCCACTTCTCTTTGGGTCTTGGCAGCTTCCACCCCTATCTGCAAAGCAAGTCTTAGTGGGAAGGAAGGTGGGAGAATCACTGGATTCTTCATTGACCCCAGGAAATGATGGGAAAGGACTCGCTGAGGATGCTCAGCTTGGGGGACCTGGTCCAAACCCCACAAAGACGATGGGGTTTGTCCCTGAACTTCAGCAAAGCTTGAGTGACTTTGAGCTGCCTGGGTTTACAGGGGTTTATGGTTAACTGAAGAACCGACTGGCCCAAATTGGCCATATCAGGTGGGTATTAGGAAAGCTTGTAGCCATCAGGGGAATGAAGGGCTGGAGCAGACCAAAGCTAGGGGGCCAAAAACCCCAACGCATCTCCAGCTGGGAGACAGATGACCCCAGGAATATGTGGTACTCTGGTGTGATGCCAGAGGACTGGAAAAGGGCCAATGTGGTCCCCATTTTCAAAAAAGGGAGGAAGAAGGACCCAGGAAATTATAGGCCTGTTAGTCTTACCTCGATCCTGGGGAAGCTCTTTAAGAAAATTATCCAGGTGCACATCTGTGAGGGGCCGGCAGGGGAGATCATGCTTAGGGGCAACCAACACGGGTTCATTAGAGGCAGGTCCTGTCAGACCAACCTGGTGGCCTTTTATGACCAGGTCACAAAATCCTTGGACGCAGGGGTCGCAGTGGACATAGTCTTTCTGGACTTTAGGAAGGCCTTCAACACTGTTTCTCACCCCATTCTCATTAAATAACTCGGGGACTGTGGCGTCGACACCTACACAGTCAGATGGGTCACTAACTGGCTGGAGGGCCGCACCCAGAGCGTGGTGGTGGATGGGTAATTTTTGACCTGGAGGGACGCGGGCAGTGGGGTCCCCCAGGGCTCGGTCCTTGGGCCCGCACTGTTCAACATCTTCATCAGTGACTTGGACGAGGGGCTGAAAAGCACCTTGTTCAAATTCACAGATGACACTAAGATGTGGGGAGAAGTGTACACGCTAGAAGGGAGGAATGGCTGATTTAGACCTGTACAGGTTACAGGGGTGGGCGGATGAGAACAGGATGGGTTTCAACACTGACGAGTGCAAGGTGCTGCACCTGGGGAGGAAGAACCAGCAGCAGACCTACAGGCTGGGGAACTCCCTTCTCGTCAGTGCAGAGGCAGAAAAGGATCTTGGAGTCATTATTGATGCCAAAATAAACATGGGCCGACAGTGTGGGGACGTTGTCAGGAACACCAACCGCACCTTGTCACGCGTCCACAGATGCATCTCGAGCAGGTCCAAGGAGATGATCCTCCCCCTCTATGTGACACTGGTCAGGCCGCAGTTGGAGTACTGCGTCCAGGTCTGGGCGCCGCACGTCAGGAGGGATGTGGCCAGCATGGAGAGGGTCCAGAGGAGGCCACCCGCATGATCGGGGGCAGCAGGGCAGGCCCT